ATATCTCCAGTAGGGTAGTAGGGTCGGACTTAATGATGATTTCACTCGTTATTATCATTTACAGGTTTTTTTTTAAACTCATCCCTAACCTCAGAAGTAAGCTTTTTAACATATTGTAATGTGAGAACCCACGCTAGTGTAATTTCGACTATTTCAATCTTATCATTATTATTATTATTATTTGGACAAAAGAAAAAGGGGAGAAGTATTCCAAAAAGGGATTGTCCAAATAATAATTTTGTCCAAATTATTATTTGGACAAAAGAAAAAGGGGACAAGTATTCTTTGACTGCATTTCATAAATGCAGTCAAAGAACTTCGTAAAATTTTCCCACGTATATCACTTTTTCCGTGAGTGACACGTTCCAAAAACTACTCGACGAAGGAAATAAGAAAAAAATCGCGGATTGGAGCAACCGTAAACATTATCAAAGATGGACACTAGAGTGGCAGAGGGAGGACTCCGAATAAAAGGCAAGAGGACAGATTACAGAGTTTGCCTGCCTAAATTGTGTGTGTGTTTAAACTCTTTCATTAATTCTTTGTCCTTGCATAGTTCTAAACTTAACCAAATAAATTGTTGTTATTTAACGTTTAAATGCATTGGGGAGTGCGTTATTTCCAGCGCGCTGTCTCTCGACTCCCTCCCCCATCCCAAACCCGACCTTTCTCATCTGCGACCGCTCGCGAAAGACTTACTTCCAGAAGTAGTGGTCACAGTAGTGTCAGTACTGACTTGGGCATTACTGACATAGCCGTGGCGGTGCCGGGGGTCACAATAATAATTAAAAATCTAAAAAGTTTTTAAATAAAATATCATGACAGATGGTGCCACACGCAGTTTTGAATATTGCCATGAAAGCTAAACTGGAATTTTTATAAATAGTAATCAGAAATCTAAGCATATTTGGTTGAATGAAATTTTATGTAATTCAACTTAATGACCAAAACTAAATAAATTTTTTATATAAGTTTAACTTAACCGGAAATAAAATTCCATTTCAGTTTCTGATTTGGCCACAAAATCCAGTTTGGCCAGACCTTACTTGTCTTGTGAAAAACGTAACGATACCAGATCCGATACTTGTATCGGTCGGTATAGGACTAAAAGTATTGAGTACAAAAATACTCGGTATCCAAAAAATTATCGGTACGTCTCTAAGCGAGGCACTACTGATTTGAAATGTACCATATAATTTAAGTTAAATAAATTAAAAATTGCAGCCTGGCATTGTGATGATGTCACAATAAATAATTGCGCGTTACCTTATATAATTTATTTAGTTACAACAAATATTAAATAATTTTTTAACTTGTTTTATTTATTCAATATATTAATCTATACATATAAATGAGGATGTTCGTTTGTTTGTTCGCGATACACGAGGTGTAGTTTCCTGCATTTTCTTCAAGTTATTAACACCTAAAATAGGGGCCAGCTTTACATAAAAATCTTTCCGGGATGCATCCCCTCGGCAGATCGCTCACATGTCGCGTTGCCGTAACCAAATAAATCGAATCAACGAAGTCAATTGAATAAGTAGGTCGTAGAATTACAGGTAACTGGTGTTTTGCTAGCTATTTATTAATTGGAGAGCATGTTGCCAAGGGGCATGGAGATGGCTTTTTGCTTACTAGAAACGGGGCTGTTTTATCTTGAAATCGAGAATATAATTTAAGATTCCTTGTTAACAAGTTTATTGTCGCGAACGAACTCTTAATGCAGCAGGCCTTTCAATCAAAAAACGCAACACACATTGTCTTCCTTTTGGATCTGTCATGACGAAAGTTTTTTGGTCTTGATGGAGGCTGCTTTACTTGGTCAGGTACTGTACGTTGCTTAAACATCCTGCAACAAACACCAGTTTTCATCATCAGTGATTACGCTGTTTAGGATATCTGTACCTTTAGCAACTGTCTTCTTCGGTTCTACATGATAGTGATAGTGATAGTGGGCGAAAGAAATGGCGTATCCAGGGGTGTTGCCACTGAGAAAGGAGGTGATAGAGAGGGTGAGAGAAGGATAGGGAAAGGGAATGGGGTGGGGGAAAGAAAAGGGGAGGGAAAAGAGAGAACTGTAGAGCGTTAGGCGGAGATCAAATGATTGAGATCCTAAAAGTATAGGTTGGTGCATGCAGTACAAATAAGCGTGTAGTAAACAGAGGAGAGTACGCTCTGAAAAGTAACAATTGTACAATTAAAAACAGATGTCCGCCCACAAAGAACAGAATTGAAATGCGGGGGCAGATTGGTGAGAGACACAATGGGGCTAGCCCCTATAATGTTAGAAGTAATAAGTCCGATAACTAGGTGATCGCTTTGCGTCATTGTAAAAGTTTATGGTTCTACATGATAAGTGTATATCGTTCAAGAGCTCATGTTAACTTCTTCGAAACAATGTAAGGACGGAAAAAAGCATTTTCAAGTCATTGTAAAGAATGACGTGTATTGTTCAGAACTAAGCGAAATTCCCAAAATCTTTATCAGATCGTCTGTTGATTGTCTGCTGTCTCTTTCGATCCTGTTCGCATTTTCGGAAAATCATTTCTTTGTGAGCCCGATCTACATGGCTAGTGATCATCCTTTGATTATTCAGGCCGTCTTTAAAATACTTATGCTATTCGTTTACTTATGTACAGTACGTCACAGGCTGTCATTATCAGCTTCTTTTTTATACAGATTAAGATTTCAGAAAAGATTTTACCAAGTTTTATGCAGAATTTTTATTGATTTGCTACTTGCAATGTACCAATTCAGAAATCTGATAGCACATATCCATGTAGACTTAATCTAGAACTTTCACATGTTGTATTCTCATCTTGTAGCTCTTATTGTGTGTTGAAGAAATACTCACATGTCTAAGACGTTCCAATGCAAATATACTTTTCGTTATTAGGCAACATCTAAACTTGGGCATATTTTTGACTCTACTCTTTTGAAAATAAATAATTTGAAATGATGAATGCAGGAAAATCTAATAGTAAATTTAATTAGAACAGAAATTAACTCAAACTTATATGTGTATGGAATATGTGATAGGTGTAAAAACGTTTACTTTCTTTATAAAAATTTTCTTTTGGATTATAATTCGGGATAACATTTCAAATATCCAAGATATATTTTTATAATCTATATTTATTTAATATGATCTGCTTCTTACCTAATATAAAATTTTGTTACATGTCGGTTTATCTCATTAATGCCGTTAAAGTTTATCGGATTATATAGAGAAAAACTTTGGGAAAAGGCTGAAAAAATCAGGGAATTTAAGAGTAAAAAGTGATAATGTATTCCACTAATTGTCAAATGGTATATGATAATCAAGGAACACTTAAATACGTATCTAAACATTCATTCATTTGAAGAAATTGCAGTTTTTTATTTCATTTGCATAATTGCAAGTTGTACCAATAACCAAAGTTTTTCAGAAGTCGATAGAAGTCCAGGCTTTATCTTTTTTTAAGCCCCGATATATTTAAACATCAGCATTAAAAATTGTTGTTTTTAAATAATATAATTTAACTAAAATTAAAAACTGTATTTTTGATACACAAAAAAATAAAAACACATGCTCTATCACAAGAGGAATTCAGGTCAACGGACCTTAGTATATCCCTATGATGGGACCTTTCAACAGTATTTCTAATCTCATTAATTTCAAAACATCCATTTAATACCATGTAATTGATTACCACTTGATATTTTTCATCAATTAATATTTAATTTTAAAATAAACAGAATTACATTGTTATATACAATTATTTTCTTCTAAGTGTTTAGTGGTAGCTGTAAATATATACAGTACTTTTATTAAAATATTGTGTGTCTAATTACTTTTATATTAATTTCTAGTACAGCAATTCAATATTTTATTAAGTAAATGCCTTACATACATTATCGATAGATATACAAATACTATTTTCGTACGAAGTGCCGTACAATATCACTACTGATAAGAGGAAGTCTATCAATTTTTTTCCGTCTGATAATATCTTAAAAGTTTCAAATTAGAACTATCTGAATATTTAAATAGAAGCAATCGTAAATAAGGATCGATTTTCTTATCTACCGATAAAGCCAGATATTCAACCTTATCGTTTTTCAATGTACTAAACTAATGTTTGCTATCGTAGTACTTAAAAGACTTGTAACACTACTGTAACTTTCAGTGTATTTTGTGAGTAGGCTACAAGATTTTGCATCTCTTGTATCTTAAAGATTATGTGATAAGTTAATACGAAGTACACCTATTTATGAAAGCGATAAATTCTCTAATTTAACAGCTATAGTTCACTTTTAAAATATTTAAAGTTGTAACGATCGAACGATATATTTTTATATTTTTGGACGTTAACTCATTTGGCTGGTAGATATGATATGTGATATCTATCTCACCGTATTTTTTCGAGGTAATATATTCGAATGATAGCTCAACATTTTAAGAAAGAATGAATACAGAGTGATCGAAAAATGAGTCAACCGAGATATATCTTAGGATTAAACAATATTAAAAAGTTAAGATTCGTAAATTAAACTGTAAACACCAGTTTGAAACATGACCATTTTCTGAATCAATCGGTTCGTTGGTGGAAAGGAATGTTAAAATATATCCCAGTTAATTGTTGACTTTACTTTATAATAAATTTATAAGGAAAAATATTGTAAACAGGAATTAAATAAATATATATACTTATATAACATATAGGCCTATTTATTGAATATCGTAGAAATTTATTTATTATATTTCAATTAAGAATTTAGGCCTATATAAATGAAAAATATGTTTCATATAACTGACATTTAACATTATATACTTTCCATTTCATATAATTAACATTTATTTTTATATTTTAATATATATAATTCATGTTTATTAATGTTTTATATGAACAAATATATAATAAATTATGTAACTTCTTTTAAGTATTAAAACTAGCATAATTATTTATTCATGTGGTAAATATAATATTTTGAGGATGTAAAAATTTCGAAAAGCTATTTTTATTTCAGCATCAAGTTTAAACTGAACTTGTAATTTATTTAGAAAAATTTAAACAGTTTTAAAAATAATAAAAATTCTCAGATCTAATTTTTTCTGATGACAGTTTGGAGAGATGTATCTTTGCGACTTCTCACATATATGTGAAACATAAAACTCTTAGAAACGTTATATCTAGTACAACTCACTTTTAAAAACATTTTATAAATTGATAGTTTGAACGACAAGATAAATAGAATTCTTGAACTTCAATATAAATGTGCCCATTAAAGTATCACTCGACATTTTAAATAATTTTCAATTCAGGCATAACTTAAGAAGTTCTCAAATGCTGAAAAAATAAGAATAATTTACCAAATATATATTCTTTTTATTATAAATAAAAAAAAATTTAAATTTATATGTAATAATTACATACTTATCTGAATATTCAACAGTATGTAATGGAGTATCCTCGATATTAGTTGAAATAATATTTTTATGTTGAAAAGTTTCATCTATTATTTTTTTTAAAAATTCAATTTCGATATATTTTCGTTTACCAATAATATATTTTTCAAATAAATATAATATTTCTAAATCCGTTAATCCGTGAGCCTTTAAAGCTACATAAGTTTGATCGAAGTCAAGTTGATTTTCTAACTTTTTATTATCATCAGATTTCAACTTTTTTCTTATTGATTCGAATTTAGATTTAATAACCTATTTTAAAAAATGTAATTTTATTTATAAATATTTCATTTAATATAAAAAGAATTTAAAAATTAATTTACCAATTTTAAATATGAAAATATGCCAGATTCTGTATTTTCAGATTTCATTTCTTCTTTTACGTTTGCATAAGTATCATTGATAATTGCCAGAAACATGTTCTAAAATTGTAAAATTTTATAATAAAAAAATAAACTATACAAACTATATTAAAATGTACGGTTTAATATGTACTTACCAGTAATACAAAAAACACAAAGAAAACGTATGTTATAAAGTAAAGAGGACCCAAAAGATTATCCACATCTTGTAATTGATAAAAGTCGTATTCACCCAAAATGATTCTTAACAATGTAAAACTATATATATTTTATTAAAAATTAAATTTTAAATATTAATAGTAACAATATCATCAAAATATTTTTTAAAAAATCATAAAAATTGTGGTGAGATAATTAACAATGAATTAAAGTTAATAAAGTGTAATACAGTAGAGCGTCGTTTATCCGAATCAATTGGGGACTGGGGTGGTTCGGATAACTTATTTTTCGGATAACCAATTATGTACGGAAAAATATATGAATTTATCCCATGTTGAAATTTTTCTCCGTTGCGTGTCGCTTCGCGTTGAATTTTTGTCGATGATAAGCCTAACGAAGACTATTGCATCGTTAAAAATTATTTTTTTATTTTGTACGAACAAAATAAATATATTGATAAAATATAAAAACAATAAAAATTATACTTTAGAAGTTAATTTAGTATCGAAAACGTAAAATATTTGAGTAGCCGAAGACTAGCCAAAGATTACAGCGCCACAGCACTGGCGAAAATTTAAATTTATCGACTGGAATTCCTTCGGATAACCGGCGTTTCGGATAACCGGCGTTTCGGATAACCGACCTTCGGATAAACGACGCTCTACTGTAAATATATATTAAGCGGACAGCAGCGCCAAATTTTGTCACAGCGGCTGAATTTTGAAGTACATTTTTTCCAAATGTCGAAACCGCATACTCAGAACAGTTTTCTGTGCCAATTTTGTATTTTCTACTATACAATATCAATTTTGGTGGAGATTTTCCGAAACGTTTTACACAAAGCTCTAAACCAGTGTTTCTCAACTTCTAACGAAACGTCGCCCCCTTCAATAAAACCGTCACGTAGTATCGCCCCATTCACTACAAAATCCGATGCCGAGGGACAAGGCTAATGCCAAATTCGTACTGCATCGAATAGACTAGTGACTATATAATATTATTTGTTTAATTATTGTACGATATAACGAATAAAATATCTAATTATTCTTAATATAATGTTTTACTATATCGCCCAGAAAATTGTTTTTTTCGCCCCCAAAATATAAATTGTTACTAATCGCCCCCTGAACATGGAAAAACTCCCACATTGGGAGCGATATCGCCCCCGTTGAGAAACACTGCTCTAAACACTTCTTGTCTTATTATAGCCACCATGTATATATCTCGAAATGCAAGTTACCTGATCTGTATATTTTAATTACCTTTAATTAAGTCCATATGTTTAATGAATTTAATTAAAGGTATTTAAAATATTTATTATAACAATAAAAGCATGACCTATTATAAATAATATAGTTTATTATCCTTCCGGTTTATATAAAAACAACTTACAATGAATTTTCAATATTGCAATAGTCTTTAAGCGAATATCCAAACAACATATAACCCAATTGAGAATATGCAAAAAACACAATGAAGAACATAAAACCGAAGCTGCATACATCTTTCCAACACTAGATATTAAAATTATACAGTTAATATTATAATAAAATAATTATTTCTCGTCTTTTGATTGCTATATAAAAACATATATAATATTTTACTTACCCTCGAAATGGTATGCGATAATTGTCTCATAGTTTTGTTAAAACTAATAAATTTAAAAAACTTAATCCAACTAAAGAAAACAGTAATTGCTACAGAATTGGTAAAGTGTGCTTCCCAATATGCTAAATCTTCTAAATCTGGATATTCTTTAGGATTAGATAGTAGTTGTGAAAGATTCTTATGAATAGTTATATTCCTGTATATACTAAATGTAATGCCCAAAATTGATAGCTGAAAAGATATATATTATGTTCGCAAACTACACATGAAAATATGTTGTAATTATTTACATTTAAACTATTATTTATAACTAAAATACCGGGTGATCATAATTACAGTTGTTCTACTCAGAGAGGACTCTTTAGCTCCAATCAATAAGCCATGGCAATGTCTTCAACGATTTCTGTAGTGATAAGCCTTCGCTCCTGTCAGGTTGAACTCCTTAGGTTCTAGTTTGTCTCAAGATACGTTATTATTTCCTTGACAGCATGCAGAGCCATTGGTCTGCGGTGTAAGTTTTTACGACAACAACATTCGCGAACAGAAGCCACAGCATTACCAAGATTTTCGTAAAAGAGCTTCATAATTATTGATAGCATTTTTATACCAAGTTTTGGTAGCATTTCATGTGGCTACGCATATCACATTTATTTGCTTGCAGCACCTTTTACCCTGTAGCGAACAATTTTAAAACTAAAATTTTTCTTCCGAAATACTTATCCGCATTCTTCTTTGAATACTGAGTACCCAAATTTTGGTGTCAATCGGCTTATCGGTTGTAGCTACAGAGTCCACTGAATAGAAGAACTTTAATTATGATCAAGCGGTATAAATCAATAGATAATATTCACAGTTATAAGATCAATTCAAGAATAAATGAATTTTATGGCAATATTGCACGCTTTCACATTGAATCTTTACTATGAGTTTAAAATTTGTCATGAGTCCCAGTAAATTGTTATGGCGTCATTGCATTAAATATATTTATCAGCGTATTCATTAGTATTTCGTTAATGTACTTATTGACGAAAACACTAATGGATACACTGATGGACTGGAATAACACTGCACTACGAAACAATGATGGCAACTTTATTTCAGAACTAAGAACTTTTAAATTTTTAAGAAAATGTATATTTAGAAATTTTTTAATTATTAATTGTAATGGTCTCTTATTAGTGGAAGGAATAAATCATAATAAACAAATAAGAAATCACACAAATGCATTTTCTTCTAACCTAATTAGGTTTTTCTAAAGAATAGAAAATTAAAAAAATAAATAAATAAAGAATTTCATTAACGGTTCATTTACATCTTATAATTTTAAAGCAAATGTCTCACATAACTACATTCAGCAATTAAAACAAAATTTTTTAAAAAACTTTTGTATTATACCTGAAGAATAATAAGATTACTTTCCAAAATATAAAGTTAAGAAATTTTAATATTGCCTAAAATCATATCTAGAATTTTTATACACTTTTATTATCNTGGTTCAGAAGTCAGTGCGGTAGTCAGTACTTCAGTTTACATTCGTATGATGTCTTACGTACACAAAAGAAGCTCCAGATGAGTCCTGCTAATGGGCTCTATGAGTACTACTATACGTGGGATAGGGGCGAATAAGATATCATTGGTAAAAAGATAAAACAGTGTCTTTACATTAAAAGTTCTTTATTGGAATCAAATTTTACAAACATTAGTGCAAAGAAATATATAGAAATTGTAGCTCATTTTAAACATCACTGATGGATCAATTTGTTTAACAGACAAAATTACTACATAATGTTTAACTAAATATTTATTACTTTCCCAACTCTGTTATATACCGTATAACAGAGGGAAAGTATGGTTCGGTCAAAAAATAACCCCCAAAATGTTTACATTTTTGAACTCCGGGGACCTTAAAACGACAAGAAATGAAAAAAAAACAACAAACAAAATTGCGTGTAAAAATTTTTCTCTAGTATGAATGTTAGTTTGTGTGGGAGAGTACGACTTTGTTCACTCTCTTTGAGACTTAAAAACTCGTGTTTTTGTCGAAAATGTCAAAAATTTTGCCAGCATGTGCGGGATTGACGCTATTAATTTTCGGTGTTTAAAGGTCGACAGGGTGGGAAGATAAAGGGAGTGTGTCATATCTCCAGTAGGGTAGTAGGGTCGGACTTAATGATGATTTCACTCGTTATTATCATTTACAGGTTTTTTTTTAAACTCATCCCTAACCTCAGAAGTAAGCTTTTTAACATATTGTAATGTGAGAACCCACGCTAGTGTAATTTCGACTATTTCAATCTTATCATTATTATTATTATTATTTGGACAAAAGAAAAAGGGGAGAAGTATTCCAAAAAGGGATTGTCCAAATAATAATTTTGTCCAAATTATTATTTGGACAAAAGAAAAAGGGGACAAGTATTCTTTGACTGCATTTCATAAATGCAGTCAAAGAACTTCGTAAAATTTTCCCACGTATATCACTTTTTCCGTGAGTGACACGTTCCAAAAACTACTCGACGAAGGAAATAAGAAAAAAATCGCGGATTGGAGCAACCGTAAACATTATCAAAGATGGACACTAGAGTGGCAGAGGGAGGACTCCGAATAAAAGGCAAGAGGACAGATTACAGAGTTTGCCTGCCTAAATTGTGTGTGTGTTTAAACTCTTTCATTAATTCTTTGTCCTTGCATAGTTCTAAACTTAACCAAATAAATTGTTGTTATTTAACGTTTAAATGCATTGGGGAGTGCGTTATTTCCAGCGCGCTGTCTCTCGACTCCCTCCCCCATCCCAAACCCGACCTTTCTCATCTGCGACCGCTCGCGAAAGACTTACTTCCAGAAGTAGTGGTCACAGTGGTGTCAGTACTGACTTGGGCATTACTGACATAGCCGTGGCGGTGCCGGGGGTCACAATAATAATTAAAAATCTAAAAAGTTTTTAAATAAAATATCATGACAGATGGTGCCACACGCAGTTTTGAATATTGCCATGAAAGCTAAACTGGAATTTTTATAAATAGTAATCAGAAATCTAAGCATATTTGGTTGAATGAAATTTTATGTAATTCAACTTAATGACCAAAACTAAATAAATTTTTTATATAAGTTTAACTTAACCGGAAATAAAATTCCATTTCAGTTTCTGATTTGGCCACAAAATCCAGTTTGGCCAGACCTTACTTGTCTTGTGAAAAACGTAACGATACCAGATCCGATACTTGTATCGGTCGGTATAGGACTAAAAGTATTGAGTACAAAAATACTCGGTATCCAAAAAATTATCGGTACGTCTCTAAGCGAGGCACTACTGATTTGAAATGTACCATATAATTTAAGTTAAATAAATTAAAAATTGCAGCCTGGCATTGTGATGATGTCACAATAAATAATTGCGCGTTACCTTATATAATTTATTTAGTTACAACAAATATTAAATAATTTTTTAACTTGTTTTATTTATTCAATATATTAATCTATACATATAAATGAGGATGTTCGTTTGTTTGTTCGCGATACACGAGGTGTAGTTTCCTGCATTTTCTTCAAGTTATTAACACCTAAAATAGGGGCCAGCTTTACATAAAAATCTTTCCGGGATGCATCCCCTCGGCAGATCGCTCACATGTCGCGTTGCCGTAACCAAATAAATCGAATCAACGAAGTCAATTGAATAAGTAGGTCGTAGAATTACAGGTAACTGGTGTTTTGCTAGCTATTTATTAATTGGAGAGCATGTTGCCAAGGGGCATGGAGATGGCTTTTTGCTTACTAGAAACGGGGCTGTTTTATCTTGAAATCGAGAATATAATTTAAGATTCCTTGTTAACAAGTTTATTGTCGCGAACGAACTCTTAATGCAGCAGGCCTTTCAATCAAAAAACGCAACACACATTGTCTTCCTTTTGGATCTGTCATGACGAAAGTTTTTTGGTCTTGATGGAGGCTGCTTTACTTGGTCAGGTACTGTACGTTGCTTAAACATCCTGCAACAAACACCAGTTTTCATCATCAGTGATTACGCTGTTTAGGATATCTGTACCTTTAGCAACTGTCTTCTTCGGTTCTACATGATAGTGATAGTGATAGTGGGCGAAAGAAATGGCGTATCCAGGGGTGTTGCCACTGAGAAAGGAGGTGATAGAGAGGGTGAGAGAAGGATAGGGAAAGGGAATGGGGTGGGGGAAAGAAAAGGGGAGGGAAAAGAGAGAACTGTAGAGCGTTAGGCGGAGATCAAATGATTGAGATCCTAAAAGTATAGGTTGGTGCATGCAGTACAAATAAGCGTGTAGTAAACAGAGGAGAGTACGCTCTGAAAAGTAACAATTGTACAATTAAAAACAGATGTCCGCCCACAAAGAACAGAATTGAAATGCGGGGGCAGATTGGTGAGAGACACAATGGGGCTAGCCCCTATAATGTTAGAAGTAATAAGTCCGATAACTAGGTGATCGCTTTGCGTCATTGTAAAAGTTTATGGTTCTACATGATAAGTGTATATCGTTCAAGAGCTCATGTTAACTTCTTCGAAACAATGTAAGGACGGAAAAAAGCATTTTCAAGTCATTGTAAAGAATGACGTGTATTGTTCAGAACTAAGCGAAATTCCCAAAATCTTTATCAGATCGTCTGTTGATTGTCTGCTGTCTCTTTCGATCCTGTTCGCATTTTCGGAAAATCATTTCTTTGTGAGCCCGATCTACATGGCTAGTGATCATCCTTTGATTATTCAGGCCGTCTTTAAAATACTTATGCTATTCGTTTACTTATGTACAGTACGTCACAGGCTGTCATTATCAGCTTCTTTTTTATACAGATTAAGATTTCAGAAAAGATTTTACCAAGTTTTATGCAGAATTTTTATTGATTTGCTACTTGCAATGTACCAATTCAGAAATCTGATAGCACATATCCATGTAGACTTAATCTAGAACTTTCACATGTTGTATTCTCATCTTGTAGCTCTTATTGTGTGTTGAAGAAATACTCACATGTCTAAGACGTTCCAATGCAAATATACTTTTCGTTATTAGGCAACATCTAAACTTGGGCATATTTTTGACTCTACTCTTTTGAAAATAAATAATTTGAAATGATGAATGCAGGAAAATCTAATAGTAAATTTAATTAGAACAGAAATTAACTCAAACTTATATGTGTATGGAATATGTGATAGGTGTAAAAACGTTTACTTTCTTTATAAAAATTTTCTTTTGGATTATAATTCGGGA